TGTCGCGAACTGTTTCCGGACACAATCGCGAATTTTTCGCGTTCCGCGAAAAATTCACGAATATGTGCGTGCGCGATAGCGATCGCGATTCAAATTGGGTATTGCGATTGTGACAAGATTACTATGGCTTCGCGACGCGCAATGAAGCGCGGATTCTACTAGGGTTCCTTCGAACAGCAAAAATCTGAACTTTCTGGCTATTTTAAATTAATATTAATTTTAAAAAACTCCATAGTCCACTAGTCTATTGGTCAGATTTCAAGCTCTACTCTTATACAAGAACTCTAAAATGAAATAGAAGATCTTGATAAATAGGAAAAAAGTCATAGTTGATAGTTGTGGCAGTGTCTGAGACATGATGAAGTTTGATTGAGATCGAGCGCTCCATCGTCTACCTCACGAACATTGAGGTGACATAATCTTTCATCCATCCATACGATTTGTGTTTGATTGTAAATGTACTGTATCTATCCATAGACAGATCAATATACGCCTGTTTTCACTTCATTAATATTGTCTTTTATTTTAGTCTTACGATATATTTCATCATGAATCGATAAAAAACAAATATGATTATTTAATGCGTTTAGATTCTGATTCATATTTTAATGATTATTTATCAGATGACCTATTTAAAATTATTTATAACCAAGATTTACATTATGTCTATCGTTCATTATACACTGATCATGGATCATCAAAACAATTAAATATTATTGAACAAGATTTTTTTTATCATAATGATGAACAAAAACAAGTAAATATTTCATATGATAAATGTATTTATAATAATTTTTTTATTATATCATTAAAATTTTGGCATAATGATATAATTATTCAAACATTATTAAAACAATTAATTCCAACAAATTTAATGATTGAATCATATATTGGTGATGGATGTGTACATGCATCAATGATTCGTCTAGGATCAAATAAAGAAAAAACAAAACAATTATTGTTTCCTTATGGTCACAATATGCATTTTCATGAAAAAAATGTAGAAAATTATACATTTATAGAAAATATCAATTATTTTGATGCTATATCAGATAATGTTTGTCAAAAATTTGTATTTATTGATATAAACAAAAATTTAAAAATAATTAATGTTTAAGAATAAAAATGGTTATATGTTCATCATTTATATTTAGTCAACAGGCCATTTATACCAGCTGTAAAACAATTGATTTTCAAAAACACAAAAAAGGGGAGAAATATTGGGCATCATCTCTTATATGAGTGACAAACAAAAAAAGAAGTCAGTTAAATTCCATGACTTACGAAAAGAACAAACTCTCTATTCCAAAATTGAGACCACTTTTTAAATCTAATTAATAATCATAAAAGAAAAGTGGT